CGGGGAGCACAGACTCTTGCATAACGCATAACACGTAATGCATAAGAATATATACCAATCGAAGTTCTCCGTTTCTTTCCTTTCCATGTAATAGAGAACTCTGGTTGTTCAATTTCTTAGCCCGGATCCTCATACGAACAACAGCGCTTTGACACCGAACGCTGATTGGTGAAAAATGGGTGGTAGGAGTAAATTTTACCCCCACAACCGGTAAGGGGATCCTAAAGCAAAGCTCGAACTTCGACGAAATCACTAATTGTATGAGGATCCAGCCTAACGATACCTCGGATCTTACCAAGTACATATAACATTACTGAGCAGCCATAAGCGAGAAACACAAACTCTTGCATAACGTATAAAACATGAGGCATAAGAAAATCAATCAATCAGAGTTCTTTATTTCACGGAAAGGAAGGAAATAAAACACTTTGATTGGTTCATTTTCTTATGCCTCATGTGTTATGCATTATGCAAGAGTCTGTGCTCCCCGCTATAGCGTTTGCTTAGTGCACATGCGTTACTTTATTCCCACACAGCCCATCACTGGTCTTTGGCCTCATCATGCGAAACTTCTAGGGCCCAGTTTCACAACTGACGGTTAACTCTTAACCGAGGTTCAATTTATTTCTCATCTTTTTCCAATTCTAGAATTGAAAAGAGATAATGAATAAGTTGAACCTCGGTTAAGAATTAACCGTCAGTTGTGAAACTGGGTCTAGAAAAGATATATCTATTACTTCCGAACAAACGAGACGTTGATTGGTTATCGCGCCAATTTCCGCCACGCGGCAAGCGTTGCCGCTAGTAGCGCCAGGGCTGCGTTCAGAATTATCATCTGGGTGCACCCAGATGTTCTTTTATCCTTGTTTAACATTCGTGAACAACAAGGATAATACGATATCTGGGTGCATCCGGACGAGAATTCTGAACGCAGCCCAGTTGTCGCGTTGGTGTGCAGGAGCCATTAGCGACGTAGTATCATTTCCGTTGATTTCCGTTTTCGACTCATTTCGGATCAAACCGTAGCACGTGTGTGGCCTTTCTTTTCGCTTTCGGCGTTCAAGAATATAAAGCCTATAGGAATCGTTATTTCAGAAATTGCGCCGTATTTCTTTCAGTAATTCTCGCTACATATATATTTAAACATGGAAAACGAGACAAAAGAAGAGATAAAGAAAGAAATAAAGGAAGAGATAATGGAAGAAACAAAGGAAGAAATAAGGGAAGAGGTAAAGGAAAAGATAAAGGAAGAGATAAAGGAAGAGGTAAAAGTTGACGATGATCACTTAAATGGTGATTCTGCCGCCGAGATCAACAAGATCACAGAGGCTATCGTCGAGGTTAGTAACACGCCGCCTGTTGACGCCATCGACGAAAAGGCGGAACAAGAAGAGACAAAAGAGAATGGAAAAGATGCGGAAGAACCATCTGAAGTTCTTTTGGCGAAGATTAAAACACAAATAGAGGTATATATTTCATATTTCGTGTTCGCGCGCGCGAAAAGGAACAGTTTAGTCTTCTTTTTTTTTTACGTTAAATTTGAATCACGTCTCAGTGGTTTTGAGTTGTAACAATTACCCAAACAAGTGATAAATGTATGCTATTTTCTTTTAAATCAAGAACACGTGGAGCGAGTCATAATCGAACCTGAGACTCGCAGATTACGAGTCGATCGTTCTCATACGAGATCACTCGTTACTTCATGCGGTATATCTAGTTTTCATTTCTTTTTGTAGTATTTTGATAATGTAATGATGTAGAAACATAAATTTCTTATTGAGGAAACAAAGGATGCTTTTTATTTGGTGACGCAAGTCTACGCAAGTCAGTTTGTCTTGTTAGAGATAACAAGACAATCCTGAGGTATAGTTCATCTTGTTTTTCTTTTCACATTAAAGAGAAAAAAGATGAACCATGCAAAAAATTCAGTCCTTCAAGCGTTCTCAAGGCTAAGTCCATAACCTTGCTTTAAGAGGCCGTAAGCTTGTAAATGATAAGTGATGATTATCGGCTACAGAACTTATGCTTTTAGGCTGTAAGAATTGGGTTTTGCTCAATTCGCTTAAGTCTAACGGTTAAAGCCCAAAGACTGTGCAAAAACAGTTTAAAGATATAAATTATTGCCACTTAGGGCTTTAGCAGAAAGCTGACTTATAATCTTAGGGTGCTATTTCATTCGTGCGTTTTTGTCGTATGACAAATGTGTGCAGAACAGAGAGGTCCTCGGATCTCTTTATCCTAAAGCCAATTAACAGGCTTGAAAAATTTGTCGTACGACAAAAACGTATAAATGAAATATCACCCTTAAGACAGTGTCTTATGACTTAAGTCTTATGTATTTAGTAACGCACAAGAACTATCTTATGGCTTATGTCTTAAAGGTGTATAAATATAATAGGCCTTCTACAATAAGCCATTAGTCATAAATCAGAAGTCAGAAGTTAAAAATTGACGATTGTGATTGGTCAATTTTTAGCTTCTGACTTCTGATTTATGACTAATGGCTTGTTCTAGATGGTCCATTAAGTACTTTTAATGGGCCTTCTACAATAAGTCGCAAGTCAGAAGTTCTAAGCGATCTTAAGTCATAATCGGTGAAGTTGGTCAACAGCTAACTTGAACGATTTGGTTAAGACTAGTTAAGACTTGTGACGTTCTGACTTGCGGCTTATTGTAGAAGGCACATAACTCATAAGACACTGTCTTAAGATTATAAATCAGCCTTTCTGCTAAAACCCTTAATCTGTTTCGACTCATGAGTTAAGGCCTTTTAAAGCAAGGTTGTGGATCAAGATTTAGACCTAGGCCATTATTCTTGAAAATAAACGTATACGAAAGTCTAGGGAACTACTACAATATATGTCATGTATATTATAGTATTTTCCTAGAATTTTGTATACGTTTCTTTTCAAGAACAGGGGCCCCTGTTCTTTTTCATATAGATATGGGGAAGAAAAATAGGCCTCTTGAATGTTAAGAGAGACAGAATGATGTTTATGTCAACTTGTATTACTAAACAATATTATTATAACTAATATTATTTTCTTTTTACAGTACTATTTTGGCAATGTAAATATGCAGAGGGACAAATTTCTCATTGAACAAACAAAACTGGACGAAGGCTGGATTCCAATGACTATCATGTTAAACTTTAAAATGCTGGCTTCTCTCAGCAAAGATGTCGATGTAATTCTGAAAGCGTTGGAAACCAGCGATCTCATGGAGATATCTGAGGACAAGAAAAAGATACGTCGCTCTCCAAAGTATCCCCTACCAGAGTACAATGAAGGATATAGGAAAGCTCAGGAAGCTCGAACAGTTTATGTCAAAGGCTTTCCGTGCAATGACACAACTATTGACAAATTGAAAGTCTTTTTTGAACCGTACAAGCCATTTGAAACGATTGTGGTAAATATATTTATTTGATATAGAATAAGTAAATATAACATTTTTGGGCAATAAGTAAATTGTTCTGATATTAATTTCTTCTCTTTTTTTTTCTATTACGTTACGCCTCTGGCCTATGTTATACCTCTCTCATATGCTTGTGGTGCGCACACTGATTATTCAATTGCCACAAGCATATGGGACCTACAATTTTAATACCGGTTTCGAACGGCGGATTTTTCGGAGGTTTCTGTGGGCAAAGATACTCTCGGGAGGTTGTCGGCCTTTTCCGAGAGGAGACACAAGCATAAATATTTTGATTAGAAATCTGTGGCATGACAGACCAGTGCGCTGTCTGCCATGCCACGCTCGTGCTCTGATATTAATTTGTTAACGATAAACATCTCTTTATATTTTGAACATGAAATAACAAACAAATCAATGTATTTGTGCTATTTATTTCTTAGTCTATTTGATTATTTGGAATATTTGATAGATTTAATATATTATCGGATATGAATATCGAAATAAATATGTATATCGAAAATTATTTCTAATGCGTTTACTATCTCAAATTTTACTTTACAGATGAGGAAATATCAAGATAAAGATAAAGTTCTTAAGTTTAAAGGATCTGTTTTTGTCCAGTTTGAAACTTTTGATATCGCTAAAGCATTTATGAATACAGAATCTATTAAATATCAAGATACTGAGTTAATAAGGAAGTGGGCGTAAGTAAAAATGTATCTGGAGAAAAAGAATTGATATATATTTTATATAATTTTGTTATATATACAGGGTGTTAGTTAAGTATGTTCTCAAACTCAACAGAGCGATTCTTTGGTTTATTTCAAGTAAAAAAGTCCATATAAACATGTGTCCTAAATGGCTTAGTTTCCGAAATAAAAACATTTAAACGTGTAGTAATAATCTGTTTATTTGAAAGAAATACAATTTGAACTAGTCAAAAACAAAAACAGGCTTCAGTTCTTCTGACGAAATAAAACAATTAGATGAATTGTTGAAAATGTCCACCTTGCGCCATGATATATCCATCGAGCCTTCTTCTCAAAGATTGAC